CGCGCGAGTGGGGGAAATTGATTCAGATGAATAGGGCTTAATAAGAGTCGAGAACGGTACAATGAATCGTATTCTTTCTCTAATAATTTAAGGAAACGTCAAGGCTTCCGCGCTTCGCGCGAGAGGGGGAAACTGGATTCAGACAAAAATTAATAGGGCTCATTTAGAGTCGAAAACGATACAACGAATCGTGTTCTTTCTCTAATAATTTAAGGAAACGTCAAAGCTTCCGCGCTTCGCGCGAGAGGGGGAAACTGAATTCAGACAAAATTAATAGGGCTTATATAGAGTCGAAAACGGTACAACGAATCGTGTCCTTTCTCTAATGATATGAGGAAACGTCAAAGCTTTCGCGCTTTGCGCGACAGGGGGAAACTGAATTCAGATAAATAGGGCTTATTAAGAGTCAAAAACGGTACGACGAATCGTCTTCTTTCTCTAATAATTTAATGAAACGTCAAAACTTTCGCGCTTCGCGCGGGAGGGGGAAGCTTCATTCAGATAAGGATTAAGAGTCGAGAATAGTACACCGAATCGTCTGCTTTTTCTCATGATTTAATGAAATGTCAAAGCTTCCGCGCTTTGCTCGGGAGGGGGATACTGAATTCAGAAAAGGATAAACAGTCGAGAACGGTACAGCAAATCGTCTTCTTTTTTTATAATAATTTAATAAAACGTCAAAGCTTTCGCGCTTTGCGCGGGAGGGGGGGGGGACTTCATTCAACCAAGGATTACCAGTCGAAAACGGTACAATTAATCGTCTTCTTTTCCTAATAATTTTAGGAAACGTCTAAGCTTCCGCGCTTCGCGCGGGAGGCCCATCACCCACACCCCCCTAATGAGCGCGCTTTTAAGTGATTCTCTTGATCACTACCGCCCCTCCCTCAAAATAAGATCCTAGCTCCGCGCCTGCATTAAAATGTATAGCTATGATGCTGACTAAATTGAAGAAATAATTCGTATATTTATGTCTTTGAGGAAAATGACCATTTTGCGCATATGCAAGTACTATAAATAGTCCATAGGAAAAACAATTTAGCCTTCGGCCCCAGGTTTATAGGGTTGAATTTGTAGATATTGGAAATTTAATTTTGTCGGTAATTGGTGGCTAGTTTTGTCGGTAATCGTTGGCCTCTACACCCCCCCACTGAAAAAGGTCTAGCGACGCCCCTGGTTACAAGCACTATACTCAGAAAGATGTGTATGGGACCACCCTATATCTCTCACAGACCATGAGAGAAACAAATTTACCAAATATATGAATCAGTAGGCGGTTTCCCGGCAAATTTTTTATCATCATGTATTAGTCAAAACATATTCTTTCACATGATTGGTAATGAGATCTTCCATTTCATTTTTTGAAATTGGGGCGTTTCCAATACTGGTCTTTACCTTTAATTAATTTCAGATGTTAATAGTTACTAAAGTGGTTGGCAATATCTACATTATCGTAGACTTTATTTTAACATGTTTTAAGTTAAGAACTTCCCTTGGCTGGTCTTTGCAGATTTTTCTTTTAGTTGTCAACACATTATTGTTCTAAATATTCTATAATCATTCCAATAAAGAAATAAATGAAATATAATCAAAATTCATCTCAATGATAATGCTCTACATATTAGGCCTATATTATAATTGTCAGCCTCACTGCTGCAATGGAGCACCGTCTTTTTGGCATGCCACACAGCTTAGAAAAACTAACATGATGTCTGAAAGCAAGTTAGTGAATCATACTCTGCATTTTCATGTCATTTAAACAGCAGCATAAGCGAGCGGCCATCATCACCAGCCGAGCCTCCTGCAAATCGGCTACATGGCAGCACTGTGTAACATCCAAACCTCGACAATTTGCATGAATGAAATTGGATGCATCTCAAGCTGGGATCTCAAGTTTATTCCTTGGTATATAATAAACACGGTGATTGGGATCATAATGATGGTGGTCTGTTGCAATGGCGGAATCTAGTTGAGGAAACCTTATTTTCGTAGTGAGTATTTTCTAGCTTCTTCCTTAAAAAGTCCGAGAATAACGTGGGCTAATCTTTAATGACGAACCCATTTTTGTCTTTACCCTTGATAATATATTATACCTGTGACATTTTAACCTTCGTATTATGATCGAAAATTAAATTAAAAGATTTTAACTATATATATACAATATGTTAAGTAAGTCTTCTTTTTCTCTTTCTCAATGATTTTACCATGCATACAGGAAACTACATCAGCAACATAATGCATGTAGATCCAAAATAATTCATCACTGCGTGCTATCTACTGTATTATCATGAGTACAACCAACAGTTGGAATTGTGCCATTATAGGTTCAACCAAAAATGATTCAGCACAGCTTTGGATAATAGTGCAGTTGGCAAGAAAATGCAGTTAACAGAAACCGACAAACATGGTCAAAGATATAGCAGAACGTGTCCCATGAACATGATGAGAGCCATCATTCATTCCAGCCTCTCACGCAGGAGTTGACGGAATCTTCTTATCAGGGGTCCGCCCATATGCATACGGGCATGCCAAATGAAGCCTTAACTTGAGATGACATGGGACAAACCCCGTCTGTATACCATTTATCTCAGAAACATAGATAGTGAGGAATCATATCGAGAAGGAGGAGAAACTTGCAACAAAATCAAGGAGTTTTCCAACTCTTTGACAAAATCAACTAATCTTTCATCATGATGCAAAGACCCTACAGCTTGAAATTTGCAGATAGTTTCAAGCGACAGAAATAAAGCACAAGACAACCTGCAGAGTACTGATATAAAGTATGAATGGCCCAAACTGTTGGTCATGTCTCATGGTTAAAATAAAACGATCAAAACATAGATTAGAATGACTATCACTCAGTATGAATAAAGGAGAAGACAACTTGTCAACAATGTGATGAACCAAAACTCTTATTTATGAGATTGAGCCGATGAATGACATAACAGAATCTGCCAGTGGCAGATCCAGGGGGAGAGGCCCCCACCCCTGGAGAAAAAAACGTGTAAAAACACGTTAATTTTACCTTTTTCGGAGATGAGCCCCCTCCCCTGGCGTTCAAGGTAGGGGGGGGGGGTGCGATTTTTCAAATTTTCGAGGGCCAAAAAAAAAAATTAGTGCTCACTACTACCCCCCCCCCCCCCCCCCCCCCCCCCCCCCCCCCCCCCCCCCCACTGAGCGAATTGTCTTAGAGCTAAAGTAATATCAGTCTTGAGAGGGCGCTATACAACATAAAGAGTTTATTATTTACAATTTCATAACTTTAGACTCGATTTCAACCACGACAACTATCACTGAATATTGTAGGATCGCATATGCTTTCATTATGTTCATTTGAGCCATATTCATGACCTCATACCAAAACATTGTATTACCTTTAAAATTTGCTGGAGCAGACTCTGCTCTGAATCATTAACTACACGCATTATAACTCCATTATTTTACACAAGTGCAAAGTAACCATGGTTGTCGCATGATGGTGCATGTTATCGCATAGGTCATGGCGGAGGGGGGGGGGGGACGAAATAAAACTCATGAGAAGTAAGCCTGTTAAATGGGTCGACCCCGCCCCCCCCCCCCCCCTCTCCAGCTCCTTATATATATATATATATATATATATATATATATATATATAAGGTATATTACATCCACAGAGGCATCCAAAAATTTCAAAATTGTAAAGAATCACTATCCAGCCAATATTCAAAATTTCTCAAAACTTTGTATTACATTTAACTACCAAAAAGAAAAACAGAGAGGGGTAGAAATAGAGAGTGAGAGAGAGAGAGAGAGAGATATTCTGTAAACGCCTTGTGGGATACCAGAATTCGATGAAATACCCGTGTCACCCCCCCCCCCCCCCCCCATCCGTACCATCCCGACAATCCTGGCTCCACCCCTACAATATAACCAACCGAAACCAAGAGTGACAAAAATGTTGAAAAACTGTTTCATAAAACTCCAATCATGCAGATTTTCCTCCATTCATTTAGTCTGATGGCCGTATATAGAAAGGGTTGGTCACTTCCTTAAAACAGTAAGTATCTGCTTCATGTACGAGCCCCCCCCCCCCCACACACACACACACCCTTTCCCTTTTGCGAGGGCATGAATTTGACCAAGCACGAATAATCTTCGATTCTAGCTTCCATGCAATAAAATCGAGTACCTTTTTTTTAAAGGATGGTGCGCTCCTTCGCTTGATTGTCAATCGTCAAAACTGTCAAATCCGGTTTCAGGAATTATGAACGCATGTGCCTGAAAATGTGAAAACTACCGAGTTTATTTTCTCTTCGTTGCTTCTCTTACTCCCAAATTTTATCCGCCTCAATCTTTTCAAGAAAGTCGTCAAAGAACGCCTCCGTTTTTTAAAAAATCTAGCTACCTACATGACTTGTATATCGTTCTAAAATCAACTTTGGATTGCGTGACTAGTGACAGCAGTCAATTAACAGCCGCTGCTTGTATCACCAATTTCACCTTCATTTTTTTCATAATTAATAACTTCAGTATAAAACCACGCCGCAAATAGCTCACTTTCAACGACGATCTCCCTCTACCCCCCCCCCTTTCTCTCTCACTCCCTCTCTCTCTCTCTCTCTGTATGTCTCTCTGTCTATCGCGCTCTGTATCTCTGTCTCTCTCTCTCCTCTCATATCTCCATCTCTCTCTCTACCCCATCCCCAAACCTCTCTCACACCTCTCCACCCCCTTTGTTTTCCTCTCTCCCCCATACTAACGCAGTAGACGTAGTCAGCCTGCGCAAAACTGCCTTTCGCCCTCCTTTCTCTTCGTTTAATCTATCTACGTGTAGTTTTACTTCTACAAAACACTGGAAATTTTGTTTTTATCTCATAATCATTATAATCATCATCATCTTGATAACTTAACCCTCTTAACCCCAGCAACTGTTACCAGAAAAATATCGAGGGTACCCTTTGGTGACCCATTTCGAACAAGAAGGAGACCCTGCTACTCTAGAATAAAACAAAGAGCATCCAAAGTTGAGGTTGCATTGTGTCAATTTTTATTACTTCTTCTCATGAGAAATAAAGAAAGAATCAGTACTGACATGACTTATGCATATCTAAATCATAGATCAGAATAGAGTTAGATATAAAATATATAAAATTATATAAATATATTTGAGTCTTTATCAATAATGATAAAATAACGCACACTAATAATAAGACGAGATCTTCACCTGGCAAAATGAGATATTTGGTGTGTTCATGAAAACGAAATGCATACAATTATGAAATGTGTTTGAAAAGTTTGAATAATCAATTACAATATCTTTGGACACTGCTCTTTCTCTCCTTAATCGTTGGACGAAGATTTGCAAAAGACAAGTTTTTATTTTGTTTTTTTCTCGAGAAATTAATCATGTTCCATGAAGTTGTCATAGTACAGTAGATTTTATTTTTGTCAACTAATTTATGCTGATTTTAGTAGATTATATTGGGTGCACTATTTTATCTTGTGTGCGAACTGAACTAGTTCGGCGAGTGCAGAATGCCGATGTCATGATGACGGGAATGTTGTGTGTGTTTAGGCCTCGTCGGCTTCAGCTTCTTCCTCATCAAACTCGCCCTCCTCCTCGGCGGTGGCGTCCTGGTACTGCTGGTACTCGGACACAAGTCGTTCATGTTGCTCTCAGCCTCTGTGAACTCCATCTCATCCATACCCTCACCAGTGTACCAATGAAGGAAGGCCTTTCGTCTGAACATAGCGGTGAACTGCTCGGAGATGCGCTTGAAGAGCTCCTGGATGGCGGTGCTGTTGCCGATGAAGGTGGCAGCCATCTTGAGACCACGGGGTGGGATGTCGCAGACGGCGGTCTTGACGTTGTTGGGGATCCATTCGACGAAGTAGCTGCTGTTCTTGTTCTGGACATTGAGCATCTGTTCGTCAACCTCCTTCATGGACATTCGCCCACGGAACACCGCTGCGACGGTGAGGTAACGACCGTGACGAGGATCGCAGGCGGCCATCATATTCTTGGCATCGAACATCTGCTGGGTGAGCTCGGGAACGGTGAGGGCACGGTACTGCTGGCTGCCACGGCTTGTCAGAGGAGCGAAGCCTGGCATGAAGAAATGGAGACGGGGGAATGGCACCATGTTGACGGCAAGCTTGCGGAGATCAGCGTTGAGCTGTCCGGGGAAACGAAGACACGTGGTCACTCCACTCATGGTGGCAGACACCAAATGGTTCAGGTCACCATACGTCGGCGTGGTGAGCTTCAAGGTGCGGAAACAAATATCGTAGAGTGCTTCATTGTCAATGCAGTAGGTCTCGTCTGTGTTCTCAACCAGCTGATGGACTGAGAGTGTAGCGTTGTATGGCTCTACAACGGTATCTGATACTTTAGGTGATGGCACAACGCTGAATGTGTTCATGATACGGTCCGGGTACTCTTCACGGATCTTGCTGATGAGAAGTGTTCCCATACCAGAGCCGGTACCGCCACCAAGGGAATGTGTCAGTTGGAAGCCCTGAAAAAAGGAAGACACACAAACATTCATAAGTAAGCACCTACCAACTTAAGTCAACAAATTCAGGAAGTCATGACGGAATTAGGAGAAGCCTAACATTCATTATCGACTTTCGTCTGCATCGTTTTAGTTTGAACCTCTGAAGAATTATCTCATTCCCACAAATCATTTTGAATTGTAGCACATCATAACCAATATCGAAATTTAAATCTGTACCCTTTGCACACGAGGCGTCACTCTGATTGCGTTATTTATTTTGATCGCACTAAACAAGCCATTGAAGGCGATTACTTCATATGCAAGTAATTCAACATGATATGTGTACTCTTTAGTTTGCATGCACTTTCACACGGCACGTCAAAACAGCGCAAGTCACTGATGCAGTCCTGCATCAGGCAAAATAGGGATATTAGATTTGCACGTCGACATAGTGGACTGTTACGTGTGACGTCCTTTTAAAGTACTGTTAGTGCCTTGAAGGGACGTCACAGTGCCTTAAAAGGACGTCACACGTAGCAGTCCACTATGTCGACGCGCAAATCTAACAGTCTCTATTGACGCCTGGTACGTGTGCAACTGAAATATAAAGAACCATGAACAAAATTCCAACCTATATTTTATTCTATACGGTGACCTTTTATCAGGAAATGGATAAGAGTTGGTGGGAAATGGCCATAATTCCCTTTACAATTCATTACCTGTAGGCAATCACAGCTCTCGGCTTCCTTGCGGACAACATCGAGTACAGAATCTACCAGTTCAGCGCCCTCTGTGTAGTGTCCTTTGGCCCAGTTGTTTCCCGCTCCACTCTGTCCAAAAACAAAGTTGTCTGGTCTGAAGATCTGTCCGAATGGTCCCGACCTGACGGAGTCCATGGTGCCTGGCTCGAGGTCGACGAGCACGGCTCGTGGAACGTACTTGCCGCCGGTAGCCTCATTGTAGTAGACGTTGATACGCTCGAGCTGGAGATCAGAGTCGCCATGGTAAGTACCGGTGGGGTCGATTCCGTGCTCGTCTGAGATCACCTCCCAGAACTGTTAGAGAAAGACCAAAAAAAGAAAAACAGTTCACTTGATTTGAGTTGCACGGATTCATACTTTTAATTGGGCGCGAATCTATATCCTTAAAATTAATGGTGAACGCCAAAAAATAGCTTCAAGGAGATTTATGATTTCTTTTTTGGCTATACCCTTTTCTCACACCACTGGTGCCCTGATAATATATGTTTCATCTTCGAAATTGAAACATTTATTTTTTTCGCTATTGCATTTAAAAAACGATATGGACTTTTTGGGGTGCACCGCGGTCCAAATATCGTGAAATAAAAGTTACAACTCTTTAAATAAACACAGGGTATAGGGGGCCGGGGTAGACTCTCAACGAATATCCATCCCAAGTCTTTGGAACGCAGGCATAGAGGTGCGTGAAAGAATTGTCTTAAACTTACAAATGCAGCTAATTTGGGCAGTTTCTTTCATCCTGGGGATTTACTCAACAATTACTGAAAACAAAGACAAAAGAAAAGAAATTACTTTTTGCTTGAAACTTGTCAACATTTTATGGATCATTGCATATCGATTTTCATTCAAAAAGTTCAACAGCACCTTTAAAGAAAGTACTGTACATAATAATTAGTGACGTAGGCTATATAATGAAAGAAGATCATATATAGGAATGAGGAAATATGATGCGACATGGTAGATTACCAGGCAAGCTAGGTTTTAAGTATCCCCTCTTTGCGTCTTGTGGAACATGAAAAGACACGTTTCAATACGCGAGTGCTCGGCGCTGAGGGGGCGGAGGTTTATTACATAGACAAGTGATGAAAAATTGCAAATTTTATTGGCAATTTAGTTCGGTTGCAATTAGCATTTCTTTTCTTGGGTGCTGGAGAATATCGTAGTTGATCCCTGGTAATGGTGGCATTTCTTCTTCGTTTTTTATTTTAAAAATAATCTTATCATACTGGTTGTCTGTAAATATAAGATTTAATATCCCGTTGCCCTTTTGTTTTGTTTTTTGTTTCTAGGGGGGGGGGTTGGGGTAACTCAAATGAAATTTTTACTTTCAAACGACAGATCATCGATGAAATTTGTACGACCCACCCTTCCCTTTCCCCTCTCTCATTCCCTTACCCTCTGCAGAGCATGAACCAGCCAACAAGAGATTTATCCACCTCCCCCCCCCCCCGAATATTTATCGCTATACAACTCTTGATTTGCGGCTTGTTTTTTTTCATCTGATTCTGAACACTGTGACCATGTAATTGCAAATACGTGTATGCAAGTGGCGAAGTACGTACTCATGTCCTTATCTCAGTTTTTTCAATGCATAGGAAAATATAACGTCATTTTTATTGATCGGTCACCACTCTAACAAAATTGCTCTAAGAAATCAGGATTTGTTTTGATAATCTAATGAAACTGCCCATTAACGGTAATTCTTCACGTGATAAAAGGTAGAAGTCAGATCTACTTTGTAAAAAAAAAGGAAACAATGCTCTCGCCCCCCCCCCCCCCCCAAAGGCCATGATAAAGATAATCAGCCTTTTTTTTTGGGTATATAATGCCAACATAATGCCAACAACAAGCACACACATTTAAAAATGCAAACGCAGCTAGCTCTCGAGGACTCGTACTCATGTGCCATTTTACTCTCAGATCAAAGGTCGTTGAGCAATATTATACTGGCCAGGGGCACCCTCATAATAATTACACAAGCCCACGAGCAAAGGCCGTGATTCGCAGTAAAGAAAGATCCAATCGTGCATGCGTTATGTCTTATGTATAGATATACAGCTGCACTGCAGATGTTTTTACTAACTTCAAGAAAACAGTTGGGATTTTATGTTCACAGTCCGAGCTTCCCCCCCCCCCCCACCCTCTCTCTCCGGGTCGGACGGACCGTATATTCGTGTTCCCCCAAATCTCCGGTAAAGGGGTACTTTTCACGCAACAAAAGTCCGGCCCATAAGGCCTAAAAAAAAAAAGATGTTGTATTGCCCTTTGCGACCGATCCAATAATCTTAAAATCTACGGTCGGCTTTTTCTTTTTTACCGTTTTTTAAGAAGAAGAAAAATGTATTAAAGCATTCAAAAGTAAACAAAAGATTTCCGACGACCGACCTATGTTTTGGCACCTAAAGGGCAATACAACGTCTTTTTTAAAGGCCTAATACACAAACAAACCTGGCCCGTATTGACCTTTACACACCTGACAGAGGGGTGCTTTCAAGGGGAGGGAGCCTGCATACGCATAACCTGTAACACTGAGTGTGTGTGTGTGTGTGTGGGGGGGGGGGGGTCACATCTATTTGCTCTCGTTCAATGATGAGCAATATTTAATTGCAATTTTGCAAGGCGTGGCTTAAATGGACAACATTCTTTTGCAGTACTTGAATGAGACGTAGTAAGCATTCTCTTCTGAAGATGTGTTCTTCATTTTCAAAATAATTTGTTTGTAAAGTTCTAGCCTATTCAATTTCAAATATGCTTTTGTGACTTATAAAGTTATACTGTCGACACTTGGAATGGATCCCTGCTTTAATTATGTAACTACAATTCCTTGTTTTTACTAACAGTCTCAGCAGGCGCGTACGCAGGATTTTTTCAAGGGGGGGGTTTTAACATTTATAAATCGGTCCGAAAATTTCGCAACGACTCAGCCAGCCGCTGAATAAGCGGGGGGGGGGGGGGGGGGGGGGGGGGGGGGGGGGGGGGGGGGGGGGGGGGTAAGGGGGGGGAAGAGACACATTTTTTGTTTTGTTTGGTCCCAAAAAAATCGCAACGACTCAGCCGACCGCTGAATAAGCGGGGGGGGGGGGGGGGGGGGGGTGGATGGGGGGGGGGGGGGGGGGGAAGAGGACACTTTTTTTTTTTTTTTTTGGTCTCGAAATTTGGAAATTTTGACATTTTGCTCCGTTGGGGGGGGGGTAAGGTCACCTTTTTTAGGTCGGCCATGGGAATAATTTTTTTTTTTTTTTTTTTTTTTTAATAATTAAAAAAAAAAAAAAAAAAAAAAAAAAAAAATCCAAGAGGGGGGGGGTTTTAGGTTTTTTTTAGGGGGGTTTACACACAAAAAATTTCCAAAGGGGGGGGTTTAACCCCCCAAAACCCCCCCCCCCCCTGCGTACGCGCCTGAGTCTCAGTGAAATTGAAACCGTTATATTTTCTTGACAAGCCTCAATTACTACCAGTAGTACTCCCCGTAATATGTACCAGCAAATTTGTATTTCGGATTATCCCGCGGAGAGTGAGCAGGGTCACGCGCATGCTCACAAAGGGACACCCTATCGTCATCCATATAACGGTCAAACTGGCTCCATGACTTCGGCTTGGACTGTTTCAGTTATTATGGTTCGAATTTCAATATACTGTGGACACTTTCTCTCACGTCACCAGAGCGCAAAAAAAGACAACATTTTCCTGCAATGGTGAAAAACAGTGGCGTAATGAGCAAAAACTTGGGGAGAAATCAGTGGTTGTCCTTGTTTGTTCTTGGAGGTGGGGTAATTGTCCTCGAGGGTAAATTTTCCGGGGTAATTATTGTCCTCGGGGGTGGTTGTACCTAGGGTGTAATTTTCCTGGGGTAATATTCCGGGGGTTATTGTCCTTGGGGGCTAGTTTTCCTGGGGGTGATTGCCCAGGGGTATTTGTTCTAGAACCCTTGGGGACAGATCCCCCCCCCCCCCCTCATCAGTACGCCAGTGGGTGAAAGGGGATGAATTGATTATAAGCGCGCCTTGTTGGCTTCCATCGCTGTGATTTCATTTTAATTATGGTAAACAGCTTTTTGTTCTGCGATCGATACAGAACTCAATTCACTGGCCGGGTATTTTAAATTACATGAGCTATTATTTAAACATACACAATTACGGCTCCAATAAACTTATACTAAGTAACCATATGGTCTATTGATATTGCTCGTTTTGTCTTATTTCCATTTGGTCTAATCACCGTTTTTATATACTGCCTATTTGTCTACTATACATCATTTGATGATTACTATTTAGGATTAAATGATTATCAGAACATATAGATCATAGTAGACAAATGGGAATAAACAAATTGGGTAGAAGACGAACTGGTCGTATATCAAACGGCAATAAACAATATACAATGTAATTGCTAGTCGTGACTCTTTAAAAGTAGTAATTTTAGCCAATATTTTACAAAACAGTCTTGTATATGAAGAAAAAAATAGAGGAGACAGCTATGATGACAGAACTGACACAGCCAAGTGAATACAGGTGTTTATCATGTTTATATATACCTAGGCTCCATGGTTATACTATAGTAGCCTGTATGCATACACTTATGCCTATATTCTTTAAACTTATAGATTCTTGATTTCAAAAGTAAGATGAAAAATCGATTTCTTACCTTAGCACCAATCTGGTTTCCGCACTGTCCGGCTTGCAGATGAACGATTTCGCGCATGATGACAGATTTATTTGACTAAAATGACAAATAGGAGAAAGACCTGTAAGAGGAAGGAGTCCGGCCGCTTTCACGTCTTCGGCTACCGGGAGCTTGCTCGTGTACTAAAAGATTTATCTGCCCGACGCCCGACAGATGGAGAGTGTTTCAGATTCTCACCAGACGGGATAATGTATGCTGCATATAATTAGGGATCGACTCAGAAGCGGGCTGTTGTTTAGCGTTCTAATGGGTTATTTTATATCGTTTCTAAATCTCCGAATGATTTAGTTTAATAGTAATCTCTACTGCATTTCAATATTGTTTGTAGATTGTTATATGTCGTCGATTTCGTAATTATGAGGTCTATTCTGAAATGTATGACATAATTTTTCTTAGACTATCCCGGCTCGGTTCACGATAAACCCACCAATGGGAAACCTCGACTCTTTCATTGACCGGTTACTGATATAGAGGATTTCATGGATCGTACACCACCGCACCCATTGATATATTATGGTGTTGTCAGTTTATAGACTTGACGCCAAAAGTAAGAGGAAATCTGTGGCAACTTTGCTTGGTTACTCAATGGTAAATTATGGAGAAATAAAAACCACACTCCTTTACGATGCATGAACTTTTTCATAGTCATGGAATATGCCTCTAACGTCGTCTAACATTACAGCATTGATTTAGTTACCTTTTAGTGGGCGCATATATCTCTGTGTCTGTGTGTTGAGATAGATAGAGAGACAGAGAGAGAGAGATAGAGGAGAGAGAGAGAGAGAGAGAGAGAGAGAGGAAGAGAGAGATAGATAGAGAAGAGAGTGTTGTGTGTGTGCGTGTGTGTGCGTGCGTGCGTGTGTGTGGTATGTGTGTGTGTTTGTCAGCGATAAAGGGACAAAGAGAAAAAATGGCAAAAGAGAGAGAGAGAGAGAGAGAGAGAGAGAGAGGACGAGAGATAGGAAGAGAGAGAGAGAGAGAGAGAGAGAGAGGACGAGAGATAGAAGAAAGAGAGAGAGAGAGAGAGCTAGGGGATGGGGAAAGAGGAAGAGGGGGAGATGAACGGGAAGAAAGAGAGATAAGAGGGGCGTATATTTGCATGTATAACTACAACAATCCATGCTATACTTAGTAAAGGTAAGGTGATACCCTAAACATCATTAAGGGGATTACGAAACTACAATATCAGTAATTAGCACACCAGATGCATAAATCAATAACATAAATATTGTACTTAAATGCATTGGCAGACCTATAGCTGCAAGAGAGACAGACATCGTGTCGCGAGATCATAATGCAGCACTGACTCATGATTCAACTTTAAAGGCACATTCCGACATTGTTGGTACATCACGTGATTGCTACTTCAGCAATAAAGGAACAGAGGCATTTAATATGGCAACGACATACAAGGAAGAGAGAACATAATTTTAAAAAGCTTAGAACTTGACTCGATTAAAATGGTCCATAAAGGGGCAGGTAACATCAGAAGATTTGTGTTAACCTATTAAAAATCAACATGGTAGTTTAAGATTAGGTAGCCACGTAATGAGATAAATGTTATAAAATATTGAAAACCATCGATAATTGGGGTGAGATGGAGAGAGAGAAAATTGAAGCGTCGTCCAGGAGTCAGTACCCTGGTTATAACCCACGAGAGAGGATTAACAGGTAACCATGGAAACTGTTCCCAAAATAGATCGCCATACGTCTTCTGCCGTGATGCCCACTATCTTCACATCAGATTATCACGATCAATATTTAATATTATGTTCATGACAATAATTCCAATATGTTAATATGGTATTATGAATTTATAATATTGAACACATTGAGAGAGAAAAAATGCAGCGGTATTTCGTTCACAAAAGGAGAAGAGGAATCCAAACTATATTCTTCAATAATACAGGAATAAATATTACATTTTTTACATTCTATTTCTTTCTTTCTTTCTTACAAACTTTTTTCTCTCTCTCTCTCTGCCGCCGCGAATGTGTTCCCGCTTCTTAGCGTACGAACATGGAGTTTCTTTTTTTCTTCCAAATCTCTTCACCCAGTGCCATTGAGTCAGCCAAAACTGAAGAGTACATTGCAACTTTAAGTGAAATCGAGTGACTCATGTCAATGTCTCTGACTCACACAAATGATAATGTGTGGTTTGGGAGACGTGGAAGGAAAACGGAATAGTCTTATCTGAAGTCATACTATACAGAAATAATCTACCGAACCCAAATCATTGGTGAATTTAAGCGAGGTATACGATTGCATTTTCCCATTCTCACCCCTACCGCCCCTCATCCAGGCCCCTAATCATCGATGGTTGTGTTCGCCAAATGAGTAGAATCGAATAGCCTGAAAATTATACGAAATGTTTATGCGGGACTGCACTACTTGTAGCTACTTGCGCCCTTATATACAGCCAACAATACCTAAGCGATACCCCATGGTCCCCTTTTCTTATTTTTGAGAGCTTGATTTGATGAGATAACCACCTGCCAGTGACCATGCAGGGAGGTCTAATCACTCCTGGCCAAACTAGTGCAGATAAAATTAAAATCATGAAACAGACACAAAACAAATTATGATTTACCGACATGTATACATGGTGAAAGGGGACGTACAAATATATTCCAACCTCCCCCCCCCCCCCCCCCCCCCCCCTCCCCCGAGACATATCGATGGTTCTTTTTGCCAATGTTGGCGTTTCATAAATCTCCTTGGCATGCCTAGACAGTGAATTATAAAACAACGCCGTGAATGAATAAAACAATGAATTATAAAACAATGTGAATTGTAAAACAATGTGAAATATAAAAACAATGTGAATTGTAAAACAATGTGAAATAAAAACAATGTGAATGATTAAAGAATCGTGAAGCAGACACCAAAATACGTTTTGTATGTAAATCGAGGCAAAGAGTTACTCTTTGCTTTATCAGCAGACGTCTAATAGAAAAGAACTTGCCCGTCGCTTTTTGTCTGTGTACACAGAGCGATTATTCCAAGTTCAGAGAGCATCGTGAATGTATAATGTAAACATCATCATAATACTCAGTCGTTGTTTCAACAAACCCCTTTCAGCAGGAAGAGGTAGGTGAATATGGGTACTATATATTATCCAAGCAACAACCTACTAACTCATTCTTCTCTCGATCATACAGCAATGAATGGTTCTCTGTTCGATTTTTAATGTAACGAGACCATCACTATTTACAGATTAGTAGTATTATTATTAAGTATTTGGCGTCACCCGTGCCTGGGAGGCGAAAAGCAAACGAATCACTCTAACCCTCGGGTCTCTTCTCCCGGTATACTGATTGGGGTGTACAGGTGGACCACTACACCGGGGGTTCCCTCTACTCTTATACGAATAGTGCAGTGGGTTCTTAACGTGCAAATGTGGTGCACTCTCCTCCCGGCCCCCCCCCCCCCCACTGACAGTGTTATTTAGGGTACGTATATGCTCGTACCCTCTTTTTGAAAGCACCCCCTATCTGAGGACTGCCAACATTTCCGAACCCCCCTTTCGCGGGCTTTTTCGCGGGCTTTTCGCGGCTTTTTTTGCATTGGAGACCCCCAAATCAGAAAAAATGCTCAATGTACCCCCTAAATTCGGAATAATTTCTCAGGAGTCCAAAGAGATGAGAGAAAAAAAGAAAAACACCCCTTTTTAAAGAAATCTCCGGGTGAAAAGTCAAATACACCCTTTTCTTACAATTCTCGGGCCGGACTTTGTCGCACGAAAAGTACCCTTTACCGGACATTTTGGCAACACGCATGCGGTCATTCCGACCTCTGAGTGGGGGGGGGGGGGCCCGGACTCTCCTCTACACGGGGCCTCCATTTAACGTCCTATCCGAGGGACGGAGTGTTTTCCACTTAGTCTGCGTCTATGAAACAAGGGGAGGGGCACGTTAACACACCACGCAGGCTTCAGTCATTCGCCAGGGCTTGGATTCGAACCCGAGATCTTTGGTTCGACACGCATACGCTTTACCGACTGAGCCAACTCGCCTCCGATCCGTACACTCAAACCTAGCTCGCGTACCTCTGGACTATATATTTCGTAATATAAATGAGCAACTGATAGTAAGCAGGATGTAATCTAATTATCTTAACGAACAATATCCTATCATTAAAAAAAAATCTTTGTAGGACGATGTTGATTGTAATAAAGCCGAGGAAAATTAATTCCTCAAGTTTCTGATCCGGAATTTACAAACGTGAGGAGGCGAGTGGGTTTATATTATTTAATGTTTGATCTACACGTACATGTATATTTTTCTGTACATATAATGCTATTTGGGTCAGTTTCAACACAAGTTTCGTAATTCAAATTGTATTTGTTCATGAAGAAAAATTGCATTATATATTTTGCTGAGTCCATGCAGCTGATGTCCTCGCCCTTTTTCGACTTCCGATCAAACATATGAGATAACAAACAGGTTGGGGGGGGGGGGGGGCTGAAGTAATAAACGAGGAGGCGAAAAAGAAACGCGGTCATCTCGCTATTCATAAGGAGAGCTATTCATAAGGGCCGCTATTCATAAGGGCTCCTATTGACGTCACAAAGGCCGCTATTCATAGCGGATCGCTCAAGGAGCGCTATTCGTCAAGGACCGCTATTCATAACACGAGAAGAGAGTCGCTATTCATTGTGCAGAATGAGGGTCGCTTATTCCATAACACGATAAGTAGTACCACTGGCACTGCATAGCTAGTTCTATCGCCAGTACATAAGCTCAGCTCAGCAAGCTCACTTGAGCGTTATGTGCTAGGAGATAGGACGATTAGATGATCTGAGACGAATGAAGTATTTCTGTTCTTTCTAGCAATATCACCTGTGCACTGTGCAAATTGGACTTGTGTTGCATCTTTACTTTGAGCGTTTCATGACATGATGGCCGCGGACGGTGACTTGGATGCTTTGGCACTTGACGCTCCTTCTGTAACGGCCGCAGACAGGCGAGGTGAAAAGTTTTGACCTACGGAGGCTACAGGTACGTAGACTAAATATTATTGTATTGTGTTTTGCTCTAAATTAATCATAGTTCATACCCCTTAAAAGTTGGGATTTCCACATTTTCTCTCATAGATATATTAATGCCTTTAAGTTGTAAATTAGACTTTCAGTTTCAACAGATAGACTGAATCTTGATCTTGATGATAGATCCCTGAACTTGCTGAAGCAGCTTTTTGGAACTAAACTCATAATACTGGGTCTGGGTGGCATGCGTTGTGACAGCAGGTGAAGGTGCAGACTATAACAGAAAGATGTTTCACGAAACAAGCCCCTGTAACCTAGTGACTGTTGTATTATGGTTGATCAGTATGTTATCCACCACTATTTATTAAATGTAACTCTGGGATGGATACCTTCTATTGAAGAAACAGTACTATGGGTGTATGGTATTTCATTTTAAATTGAGTTTGGAATTTCATTACTCAAAATCTCAAATAGTAATTGTGTATGATATCTTTCACATTATTGAGAACAAATGTGTCCTATACCTTCAGATAATCCTGTAAGTGTAATGGGCAACTAAAATAATGAAATTTATGGATTTTGCCTGCCCAACAAGTAGGGCAAGTAGAAAATTATGTTTGTGTGGAGACTTGCGTTATCCATTCAAATATTTAAATCACCTTATGATTACTGGTAGAAAGCGAAAATGATTTGAAGCACCCTACATTTTTCTCCATCACTGCACCTGTTTTCATATAATTGAGTCAATACGATAAATAAAGAAAAGTTCTCTCTCTTTCTCTTTATATATAATTATCTTCTGCAGATACACCCGGAGCAACAGTTCCAAGACTCGGCTCTATTGGCGATGTGCAAGACGGAACTGTGGTGAAACGATCATAACGAACCGCTTCGACGTTAAGCATGAAAATCCAGAGATTCAAATCGAACGAAAACCGATCGGGGAACACACGCATGCCCCTGATGAAGACCAAATCCTCCGCCGACAATTTCTTGACGAAGCAACTGCATTAGTCAAGGATGATCCAAGTCATACGATAAGGAGGGCATACAACATTGTTTTGGATAGAGGACACCACCATCGGCCAGGTGTACCAACATTTCCAGAAATCAGAAGCCAGCTGCAACGAATCCGTTTGGCATGTGTGAAAAGGACAGTACAGCTTCAGTGAAACAGCATTTCTTCAGTGAAACAGCATTTCTTATTGAAAAGTTTAATCCATCATTAAAAACTAACGAATTATGCTTGTATAGTGGTGAAACCTATGAACGGTTTAAGTTACAGACTTACAGTTCTCTATTGAAAACGTTACACTTACAACACATGTATGCGCTCTGGAGACTTTTTGTATTAATCAAACACTATAACATGTTTGGTATAAATAATCATTTGATAGAGAGATCATGTTTGTATCATCTATGTATGTATTCAAAAGTATTTTTCATGCATATTTATTACGAGGATAAGTTAATCCTACCCTTGTTGCTTGTCATACCAAGTTGTTGTACTGTTAGGACTTAGAGCCAGGTCAGATTTAAGTCAGGCAGTTGAAAAAGCAAAAAGTATGTTGGTATTATGTAACTGTGTAGTATGTAGATATGCATTTAAAACAATGCTGGACATCTTTTCAGTTTTTCAGGAATATGTTATCGTTGAGTGTTTATTTTTCTATTGTTATGGAACGGTTTAAATGAAATTAGGCACACATGGTGAACTTGAGATTTCATTGTGTAAAATATGTTTTCCAACTTACTGTTGACTTGCTGTTTGCATGATAACCGCCTAATGTTGCAGAGCAGTCTCATATTTCTACTGGTTTGAATTGCTCTTGGTCCTTGGTAACACAGCGGTAGAGATATACAGAGAAATAGTCTTCTATTTTTAGAATAAGCGATTCGTATACTTAATATAGTAAATTCCTTTTCAGAGGGATGATGGGATGAAGTAACTGTTAAGCATTCATTTCCATTGCTATATGATCATACCCCAAAGGTATTGTTGTAATTTATAGACATAATATTTATGTAAACCAATAGTCTGTATTGTGTCTCGCTTTGAGGAAGATATGAGAGGTAATCCGCTTCGAATAGAAAAAATATAAAGGTGTGCTTTTAGGTAAAAAATTAAATACCACTTTCATAATAATGACATAGCATAGACATGTGCCTTGATTTTACTGTCTGAAGTTGAAGTTTTGTGTTTTTAAAATTGATCAGCTTAACATTTTGCAGGACATAATAATGTAAAGCGAAATCAATGATCTTCTTAATGCTTTTTTTCATATAAATTTGTTTTATATAAAATTGTTTCACACCACCTTCTTCATTTAGTTGATGTGTATGGATACATTATATACAAGCAAGATAGTGGATAGTTGGAAAATGGCGGCACGAGGAGGGCGAGGTAAATTATTAAACGTGATGTGTGTGTATGTATAACGAAACAATTATAATCATTTCGTATTATGAATAGCGACCCGCAATTCTTATTATGAATAGCGACCCTCTTCTCACGCTATGAATAGCGACCCTCATTCCGTATTATGAATAGCAACCCTCTTCTCGTATAGTATATGAATAGCGACCCTCTTCTCATGCTATGAATAGTGACCCTCATTCCGTAATATGAATAGCGGTCGACCCTCATACCGTGCTATGAATAGCGACCCTCATTCCGCATTTAATATGAATAGCGACCCTCATTTCGCATTATGAATAGTGACCTTATTCCGTGTTATGAATGGCGACTCTCTTCTTCGTGTTATGAATAGCGACCCTCATTCCGTGTGATGAATAACGACCCTCGTATCGTCTTATGAAAAGCGACCCTCAATCTGTATTGTGAATAGTGACCCTATTGACGTATTTGAATAGCGGTCCTCATAATATGAACAGCGACCCTCTTCTTGTATCATGAATAGCGTCGAGTTATGAATAGCTTTCCTTATGAATAGCGGTCCTTATGGCTAGCGAGGTTAGTAGAGAAACGATGCATTATTTGCATTTGGCCTAATGCAAGGAGATCCGGTTAACGCATAGGAGATGTGAGTTTGATCGAACAAAGCATGTCCAAAGAGGTTATCCACTCCCGAATAGCAT